CAAGGTATTGGATTCCCAGCCCCCCTTGACTTTTAGGTCTGCATAATACGCTCCACCTAACCAGTCGATATTTCTCGAATTCGTTATCGCATTGCCAAAAAAATCTGGACCTAAAGTAGTCTAGTCGCTGGAGAACCCTTTTCGGTAGGTGGAAGAATGACAACATATATAAAACCATGTTTCTTAGAACTGAATTGATCAAGATCAGTCGTCCCCCGTAAGACAAGAGCTTGGCCTTCCAACTGGCTAAGCATTTCTCAAGTCTCTCTTCCACATGCTTCCACTCAGCGATAGTTAAGCGTCGATAGTGTATGGGAATATCCAGATATCGAATCAGAAATTGCCCAAGCCGACATCCAAAAATCTCAGCATACCCAGGTGCTAATTTTGCAGCATCGCCAAAGCAAAAAAAATTCGCTCTTATGAAAATTAATTTTGAGACCAGAAAGTTCCTCGAAAGCACATAAAAGCAATTTGAGATTTCTTGCCTTATCTAGATCATGATCCATGAATAGAATAGTGTCATCCGCATATTGTAGAATAGATAGGCCATCTTCTACCAAGTGTGGAATGACACCACTAATTTGACCGTCCAGCTTAGCCTGCTCAACAAGGGTAGCTAGCATGTTGGCCACAATGTTAAACAAAATAGGAGAAGCGGGGTCCCCTTGGCGAAGCCCCTTCCTTGTCTGAAAATAGTTGCCAATGTCATCATTAACTTTTATGGGCACACTTCCTCCAGAGACAAACTCTCTACCCAACGACACCATTTTTGTGAAAACCCCTTCATGCGCAAAGTTTGCAACAGAAAGGGCCACTTAACCTTATCGTAGGCTTTTTCAAAATCTATTTTAAGAATGACACCATTCAACTTTTTCGGTGAAGCTCATGTACAGTTTCGTGCAAGACGACCACGCCATCTAATATGTTGCGGCCTTGCATAAATGTTGTTTGAGTGGGTTTTACGACATGGTCAGCCACCCCATTCAACCGATTAGTTGCGACCTTCATAAAGATTTTAAAACTTACATTCAGAAGGCAAATCGGTCGATATTGTTGAATACAACTAGCCTCCTTAATCTTAGGAAATAGGATAATTTCCCCAAAGTTTAAATGAGAAATGTCAAGGTCTTCAGCATGCAGTTGGTTAAACAACTTAACCAAGTCTGCCTTAATGACGTCCCAAAAACATTGATAGAACTCTGCGGGAAAGCCATCCGAACCCGGAGCCTTGTTGTGTTCCATTTGAAATACCGCGATTCGAATTTCCTCCTCAGAGAACGGGGAGGTTAGGAATTCATTTTCCGCTTCCGTAACTTGAGGAATGTCATGAGTAATGGATTCATCCAGCTAAAAATTTGATTCAGCTGAAGGTCCAAAAAGCTCTTTGTAATACTTAGTAATAAAAGTTCTAAGTGGTACGTCCCCCTCAATTCGGCCTTCCTCATGATCAAGGGCGAATATGCGTTTCTTTCTAGGTCTTCCATTGACAAGCATTTGAAAGTATTTCGTATTATCATCACCTTGCACAAGTGAATCCGCCTTGCAACGTTGGTACCATTTAATCTCTTCCTCATGTAGTAGGCGGGCTATCTGCTCATTTAGATTGCTTTTTTGCTCAATCTCAACTGCAGACATAGGCCTCACCTCCGCTATTTTATCAAGGGAATCAATTAAGGTAGATAGTCCCAGTTTTTATTTTTTGTAGATGCCAACAGTATGCTTGGCCCATCCACGAAGCAATCGACGCAATGCGCGAATTCAATTATTCCATCGTTGAATGGGTGTGTTACCGCGAGGCAGACGCGCCCACACTTTCTTAACCAGTTCATGAAATCCCTCTCTAGTGAGCCATCCCAATTCAAATTTAAATTGGTGACAGTTAGAACTTGGGATTATTTGTCCAAAATCGGTGAGCAATGGAGCGTGATCCGATAAGGCCTCAATTCTTTCTAATGCCCGAACCGAGGCTAGGGTATATTTATATTCCCAGTCGGTGGTAACTAGCACCCGGTCAAGTTTTTCAAAGGTTGGCACCAATCGGTTATTGGCCCAGGTATACTGACGACCAGACATCGTGATCTCCGTCAGATCCAGACTGTCAATAATAGCATTAAAGAGGAAAGGCCACCTTGTATCAAACCGGTCATTGTTTTTTTCCTGCTGATATCGAAGGATATTAAAACCCCCTTGATTAACATGGGGTGGGGATTGTCTCGACAGGTATTAACAAGTTCTTTTAGAAATGCAGACTTAAACTCCTCTTGAGCGGCGACATATACAGCTACCAGGCTCCAAAGGAAATTTTCGGACTTGTTTCGAAGGTGGAATTTGATACCCCTTTGACGTGGACAATAGTTGCAAGTACGTAGAGTTAATACCTAGCAATATTCCGCCGGACCTCCCGATCGGCGGTAAGACGTGCCATTCATAATCCAAACCACATGAGAAGTGGTCTAGATCACGTGTTGGAAAGTCACGTTTGCCCGCCTCAATGATAGCCACGAAGTCCAATGCATGATCCTTTACACAATCGGCAATGTGTTTGTGTTTAGCCAAGTCACCTAGACCTCTGCTATTTCAAAATATGTCTCTCATGCTGAACCAATTTTTTGTTTAGAGACCTTTGCCTTCTTAGAAGAGCGCCATCTTTTCTTTCCTGGGTTAGACTTATTCTTACGCACCGACGCGACAAGCTCACAAAGCGTAGTGTCGCGTACAGTATCGTCAAGGTCTACTTCAGTCGTGTCTTTAACCAAATGAGAGAGAAGCTTGCCTTCATGATTGGCATCAGCATCCTCATCCTCCTCATATAACACGAGAGGGTCAACAAAGCTCGGCAACTTAGGAGCTACCGTAAGCCGGTCGAACCCCACTTGTTTAAGGGCCCTAACCGAAAAGTCTACCTCTTTCTCATTACGTCCTAGTGACACTCCAAGTCTATTGATATTTGAAGATACTTTGGATTTATCAAAAGACATAAAAGATTTGCGAGAGGGTGTACCTTCGAAGTCGAGGTTGCGGGCAGCCGTCCTACGCATGGCCTTCACCATAGAGTCCTCGTCGCTGGCTGCTGAACCATCAGTCCCGACGTAATGACGCCCGCTGCGCCTCAGCGGCGAAGGAGTAATATCGTCTGCCGAGCCCGTCCCGTCTACTCCGAGAGGCGGAGTAGACTGTTGAGATACTTTGTACTTCGAATGAACATTTCTAATAGATATGATCCTTTTCACCAAAAAATATGATTCTTTTTCTGGTGTTGGTTTAGTGACCCTAAGAGCACCTTCAATATATGATGTGTATGTCAAATTAGCTGAAATATACACCACGCCTAAAAGCGTTCCTTCAACAGATGACGTAGATGCAAAAAAAATTACATCTGAGTTAACATATGATGTAAAATGTAAAATGCATCACCAAGTGATGCAAATATATTTCACTTGGGTGCAGGCTTTACATCTAGATGTGAAATGCAGCAGTGTCGTGCGAAGCCCAACTGCCACTGGAACCTTCCAGTGCATGATCGCCCTTCCTTCCGCCGCACCCCGCCACCAGCCCGCCCGCCTGTCGGGCCCTACCACTCCACACCCCTGCCGCCGTCGGATCCACCGCTTTTCCGCCGCCCCATGCCTTGAAATCACCGGAATCAAAGCCGCTCAGCCGCTGCTGCGCCGTCCCTGATTTGAAGCATCTCCGTCCCTGTCGGCACCCGCACAACCTCCACCTCCATCTTCCGGTCGTCTCCATGCGACTCTGCTACTTCCCCGCCGCCGCACGCCTCAACTCCGGCCGACTCGAAGCCACTCAATTTGTAGAATATACGCCACCGCCACCACGCCGCACGGCCTCCGTGACTCCGCCGGTCGTCTCCTTGCGACTCCGACGCCCGATTCCAAGCCGCACCTGTGCCACTGGCATGCCACCGAAACACTAGTTTTACATCATCTATTGGAGCACTAGTTTTACATCATCTATTATAGATCATCTGTTGGAATTGGCCCTTTTTCGGTGATATAACAATCATTTTTTGGTGATGTAAATTTTACGTCTACTACTTTTAGGTGATGTTAAATACATATATTGGAGATGCTCTAAATGTTGCAGATTTTTAACACTAAAAATATAACGATCAGAATTGCCCTACGAAAACTGATAAAATCGCCATGCTTATGTATGCCACGTTCAAAACTGAAAAATTGTTATGTACTCCCTTCGTCCGGAGAAGCTTTTTCAGACGGAGGGAGTAGTGCAATTCTTTTTCAAAATAATTACCACGCTGCAGCGAGTAATTGCCATACGTTTGATCAGGATTCGATGTACCTGATGGTGTACTTTTGTGTACTGGCCTAATATTGTGTCATGGTCTAGACCGACTAACTCGACCGTATTTGTAGAGATACACGTGGCACGGCACCTACGTACGTACAGCACTGCTTTACCATATAGGAGCATATATGTGAGGTACTGTCTCGGCACCGAACCAATCAATCATCAACGTGCAACAACAAGCCCGTGACCAAAATTCGTAACAAAACCCGACAGTACATACAATGGAATCGATTGCATGAAATTAGCAAGCTGGATCCTTTTTCAACAGACTGGCCGCGTCGCGTTTTAATCCGTCCAGATGCGTGCGTGCGTGCATAGCAGCAGCTGGATTCCTGGAACCAGTAGTCTGGCCGCGTTTTAATCCGTCCAGATACGTAGCAAGCAGCAATGCTGATGTAAGTACAGTAATAGATGCCGGACTAATAACGAATTACCAGACAAACCAAATCCTGCATCGCAACGGCCAGCTACGAGCTGATTTGATTTCCATCTCTTTCCCTGCGAGAGATTTGATTTCCATCCAAACACAGCCGAAATCCGATATGGAAAACTTTCAATCTGCTGTCATATATATACGGATGCCTCGAGGAGGAATACCCGCAGAGCAGAGTACCACGTAGCAGTTCACAAGCGGCTTTGGTCGACCGATCTACGTACGTCGAGTAGCCGCCATGACGATGTCGAGGGCGGCGGCGGTCGTCCTCCTGCTGGCGGTCGCGCTCGTGTCCACGACGACGACCGTGGCGGCGGCGAGTCACCACAGCCACCACCACCACCACCACGACGGGTTTGCGGAGGTGTTCGACAGGCAGGAGGCGGACCTGGTGGAGGCGCTGCCGGGGCAGCCGGCGGGGCTGGGCGTCCGGCAGTTCGCCGGGTACGTGACGGTGAACGAGACGCACGGCCGCGCCCTCTTCTACTGGTTCTTCGAGGCCACCCACGACGTCGCCAAGAAGCCGCTCGTCCTCTGGCTCAACGGAGGTACGCACCACCATGAGCATCGACTCGACTCGACTGATCTGAGTCCTATCGTTGGTCGTTCTAGAGTCAAAAATGTTATTGCATGCATGCAGGGCCCGGATGCTCGTCGCTTGGGTACGGAGCGCTGGAGGAGATTGGCCCCTTGCTTATCCAGAAGGGCACCCCTGAGCTCCGGCTCAACCCCAACGCATGGAACAAAGGTGCGTACTGCCAAACAGCTCGTTCACAAACTCACAGCGCCGTCAACTTTGGTAATTACAGTTAAATAGCTCATCTTTAGTTGTTAATTTTCTTGTATGTGTGCAACTGCAGAGGCAAATCTGCTCTTCTTGGAGCAGCCTGCTGGCGTCGGATTCTCCTACACGAACACCACCGCCGATCTCGAGAGATTCGGCGACGAGCTCGCTAGTACGTATCCATCCATGCATGACCCAAGTACCCAACCCATGCATACTTTTCTAGTTTCTCTCTGAGTGATTGACTTACTCGTTCGAGTGGATGCGTTTGTGAATGAATCAGCTCATGACGCGTACACGTTCCTCGTCAACTGGTTCGAGAGGTTCCCGCAGTTCAAGGGCCACGATTTCTACATCGCCGGAGAGAGCTATGCCGGTGAGTACTGCCACTACCCGTCGATCAATCTCGTGATTATGGTACCACATTAACTAGGTAATAGTAGGGAAAATCTAATCAATCTTCTATATTTGGTAGGGCACTACGTCCCCAATCTCGCCGAGAAGATCGTGGAGCAGAACAAGAAGGTGCACAAGAGCAGGCGCATCAATTTCAAGGGATTCATGGTGCGCAATCAATTCTGTTGATTTGCTGTTAGATGTTGCTATCTACCTTGTCGTCGATGATGTTAACCTCTAGCTGTCCCAGATCGGCAACGCGGCGATTGACGAGGCGTCGGACGACCGCGGCATGCTGGACTACGCGTGGGACCACGCCGTCATCTCCGACGAGCTCTACGACGACATCAACAAGCACTGCAGGTTCGACCAGGCCGGCAACAGCAGCGACTTCTCCTCGACGGGCCACAACCCCGCCAGCAACCCCGCCTGCGACCGCGCCTTGAACGGCTTCTACGGGGCCTTCGACCACATCGACCTCTACAGCCTCTACACCCCCGCCTGCACCGCCAACCCCGCCGGCACGGCGGGCCAGCTGCCGCGCCGCCTCCACCGGTCCGACAACGGCAGGCCCCTGCGGCCGCGCTACAACAGCTACGACCCGTGCCTGGACAACTACGCCGCCGCGTACCTGAACCGCCGGGACGTGCAGCACGCGCTGCACGCCAACGCCACCGGGAGCATCCCCTACGCCTGGTCCGCGTGCAGCGACCCGCTGTTCCAGCACTGGCAGGACTCGCCGGCGTCCACGCTGCCGGTGATCAAGAGGATGGTCGACGCCGGCCTCCGCGTGTGGGTGTACAGCGGCGACACGGACGGCCGCGTGCCCGTTTCGTCCACCCGCCACGCGCTGCGCAAGCTCGGCCTCAGGACCCTCAAGCAGTGGAGGGCGTGGTTCACCAGCGACCAGGTCGGCGGCTTCCAGGTGGACTACGACGGCCTCACCTTCGTCACCGTCCGCGGCGCCGGCCACATGGTGCCCACCGTCACCCCCGTGCAGGCCAGCCAGCTCTTCGCGCACTTCCTCGCCGCCAAGGAGTTGCCGCCCAAACCCATCGTCGCTTAATTAAGCTTGGAAATAGTGCTTCGTTAAAGCCATTATATATATTGGAGGTTGTTTGAATGAATTGTAGTCGATCGATCTAATAGGTTTGAACGAAAATCTAGTTTCATATGTCGTATGTAAATCAAAACTTTCGTACATTCAGGTGCAGACCTAATTCAGGCGCACTCTCAAAGCTTGGTACGGTCAGACCGAATTCAGCTGTTGCGGTCATGGTTTTCGGTACGATGCCCAGTTAAGAGCATCCCCAGCCGAAGAGTAAATTGCAAAAAAAGAAAAAGAAAAACATCACAATTGTGCAAAAGTCATCAAACACCCCAACCGAAATGCATGTTTTCTGGTGATTTTTTCATTAAGCATTGATAACTTCAGCCCAAATTGTGGTCTTTTCTGTAGTTTACTGCGAGACGGGTCGTTAGTCTTAACTCGAGCCACACCTAGTTGAACTCCTACTCGGTTTAGCTGCTCAAAATGTATGTAGCTCAATGATGACATTTCAGATTCTACGTATATATGATACCAAATGTCAACTACCTCTAGTACCACGTGACACATATGGTAAGCAATCGAGTAAATTGCAGGAAACCACCACTTTAAAAGCTAGGTTTGCAGAAAACACTACAATACATTTTTTTTTGCAGAAAACATCATGTCTTCGGTAATGTTTTTGCAAAATTCACTGATCGGCGGATTTGGCTCTGTTGATCGCATTTATGACAGATGGGACCCATTTTTTGCCTACATGGCGTGATTTTTCATGCCTGTTCAATTTTAGTCTAAATTTATGAAGTAGTCCCCACTGTTTTACACATACACCCCTCCTGTTCTTTGTGTTCCTCTGTACCCCCTGTTCGTCTTCTAGCTAATGACAGAGGGCAGCGGAGCGGCTGGCTGAGGTGAGCGCGTAGTCCGCACGAGGAGACGCAGCGGCCATGGGAGGCACGATGGTGGCGCGCTGCCGCATCTGAGGGAGGACGCGACGCTGCTCAAGAGAAGCTTCCGGCATCGTCACGGGCGGCCGAAGATGTCAGGGAGGCTTGCTCTGTTGCGGCGCCATGGGAGGATCCACGGGTCAACATTGGAAGGCGCGCTCGTAAATGGAGATGTGCTCGGTATCTCCTTCAGAGCGGCCCACTCGTGCAGGCAAGGCGGAGCTCCAGCAGCTACCAGGGCCGCCGATGCAGCGGGATGATCTGCACGGTGCAGGGGCTCACCTAGCCGTCGTTGAGATCTAGATCGGGCTCGGCCCAGTCGTCGTCCTCTTGCGTTGGTCCGACCACGGCTCTGACGGCCCCAGACGGATCCTACACCGGTGAGCATCAGAATGGCTGGATCTTGCTCACCGCAGAAGATGCCGGCGTTGAGCCGCCGTCGACCCTGCCTCGCCGATGCAAGGCACGTACCACATTCCGGCAGCAAGCACCACCAGTAGCAGCGAGCGGCGGCGTCCGGCGGTGGGATCCCGAGCGACGGCGGGCGGCCAAGTGCTTGAGGGCGGTTGGGAGTGCGGGGCGCTGGGGGAAGGCATGTGGCAGCGGGCGGCGGTGGGAGGCCAAGCTCTGTTCTGATTTTGCAGAGAGGGGAGAGAGTTGGAGAAGAAGGGAGGGAGGGTTGTATGTGTAAAATTGCATGGGCTACTTTATAAATTTAGATTAAATCGAACATGAACAAAAATTAACACCACGTAGGCAAAAAAAGGGCCTCATCTGTCATAATCTCACTTATCTGAGCCTAATCCGCCGATCAGTGCTTTCTGCAAAAAGATTACCGAAGACATGGTGTTTTCTGCACACAAAAAATGTATTATAGTGGTTTTCGCAAACATTGCCCTCAAAGTGGTGGTTTTGTGCAATTTACTCTAAGCAATCCAAACTATTCAAAAGAAAATTGTCAATTGCCTCTATGTAGGGCCGAGGGCAGTCAACATGTTCTTTCCTGTTAGCTGTTACATTCGCCCGGTCAAAATGCCCAATGGCGAAGTCAAGTAGCACCATCGAAATCAACCCAGATACTATAGTCTAGTCTCTCTGTCCCCCAATACCCGCTTGCTTCTTGGTGTTGTCCCAGTTGGTGAGACCATATGCCCGTGCCACAACTGCCAGTCTTAACACCTGCGCATCCTTCTTTCGGCAGGAAGGCGAGTTCACCGTCTCGCTCAACAATATCAACATGGACAGTCTCGGGCCAGTCGTGTAGTCTCGGAATGAAAATCTTGTTCTGCATGCACTTGAGGTCGGTCTTCTTCACCATCGTCGTGCGCGTGCCGGTGAACAAGGCTCTTCCCTCAAGGCTCTCAACCTTCTTCCACTCCATCGCGCGCTTGTCGAGCTTGACGACGTGGGCTGAACAGAACGGCCATTAGCTCGCCCCGGTCATCCTCGACGAGGTACTTTTCTTCGCGTTCGTCGGACCCGAAGCTCATGGGCTTCTCGAGAACCTGGAAGCTTTGAACGTGCCCTTCCTCGTCGTACACGCCCAGCCGCCCGTCTTCTCCTAGGATGTACATGGCGCCGCCGTGGAGGACCGGGTTGCAGTCCGGGGAAGCCATGATCTGTGGCTCGTCGAGATAAAACTCCGTATTTGCCCAATCACCCCACCCGCCGACGTTGTTTTTGATTGCACGGGCGATCTGCACCTTGCCGTACTTGGGGTCAACGGCGTACATCGTCTGCTCGCCGTCGTAGACGAGGAAGTCGTACCTGGCATTGAACGCCTCGTCAATCGGCGGCAGCTCGTGGGCGGCGCCGCTCGTGAGTTGGAGGTCGAGGATTCGGTGGCCGTCCAGGAACAGCGCCAGGTGCTGCCCGGCGGCGCAGCCGATCTTGGCGCCCGGCAAGGCGTTGTCGGCAACCTCGAAATTCTTGTGATAATAGGGGCTGTAGTAGCGGACGTTGTTGGTTCCGACGTTGGAGGAGCTGAGCAGGAGCGGGGTTATCCACGCCGGGTAGAAGGGCGACACGGCGGAGCGCCATCGCTTGCACACCAGGGCGAAGCTGGGATGGCTCGACCACCGCAGACGTTTCAGAATCAGCACGAGCAGGTCCGCCGGGAGAGACGACCAGCAGTCCCCTTCTTGCGATGTCGCCGGCTCCATCTCGTACGTGGTTGATGATGATTGAGGTAAGCTGTGGACCAGAAAATCGCGCACCGTGGAACTAGCGTCGCGCTTGGCGCTTGCTACTTAATAATAGGTCTTTGTCGTGTCCTAGTCAAGATAGCGTCCGAGTAGTGTCCGATTTTTTTATCGTGACCTAGTCAAGATAGCGTCCGAGTAGGAGTACCAGTTTGAAATTAGATTAGCAAAGTAGAGTCAGTTTGATCGGTTGGTTCGGCTGTGTATATATACAAAGATACGGCATCAGATTGTAACACGTACGAAGAGAAAAGAAAAAGGAGGGCACGACAAGGACCTTTTTTTGGCAACAAAAGCGCTTTTCGGAGCGACGCCGCGGCCATGGTGCGACGGGGTGCGGATGCGTTCACGGACCAGCTGGAGGACTCGCACTGCCACACGGCGAACAGCAGGGTACCCGGAGGTGACAACGATATGTCGCCGGTGCCGCTGGATCCAAGCCTTGCGCCGCTTCTGCTATTCGACCGCGGTGGTGGCCAGTCCGACGACGACGATGACACCATCTTCTTGTACAGCATACCCAAGAGGAAGCTGCTGAGCAGGTCCAGGAGAGCCGCCGGCCTCGCAGGCCACCGCTACTGGGTGACACCACAAGGCTGGCTGCTGATGCTGCATCTCGAATCGCGCGACACCTTCCTATGGAATCCGTCTAGCTTCAAGAGAATTCACCTCCACGTCGACCAAGACAATCTCCTTGACGGCATAGGAGACGGCAGGTGCCTGCTCTCGCGGAGGCCGTCTGACGCAGACGCAGACTGCGTCGTGCTCCTACTAGACCGTGACAACAGCGTCTTCTACTACTGCCGTCCAGTACCAGGAGGCAGCCGGTGGCTCAGGCACGCGCATGGTCACCATAGCTTGATGGACAATTGCCTTGCAACGGCTGGTGAAAAATTCTGCTCATACAACGCCAACGGAATTGTGACGCTCGAGTTTTCTCCCAACCCAACGTTCACGACGCACGACCTGTTGGAACATAGTAGTAGAATAATAAAACCCACGGGGTATACCATGTGGTGTGATCTCGTCGTCGAGAGCAACGGCGAGCTCTTCAGCCTGATATTCTGCCACCCGGTACTGTCTGAACGAAGAGTGGCGCAGATCGTGGTGCGCAAGCTGGATCTCTCGACGGGAGCTTGGCTGAGAGCGGACACGCTGGGCGGCGCCGTGTTCCTCGTCGATTGCACCCGCCGTTACGGGGCGTCGTTTGATGCCCGTCGGGTTGCTGGCCTGGGAAAGGGGAACCGCATATACTTTCTGACGTACGAGGACAAGGCGTTGTATGTGTATGACCTCGAGCGGGGAACTACTGCCATGCATGATCCTGGACTCGATCTACACGATTCTCATGTACCTGAATTTTTCATGCCTCTCGTTTAGGCTTACTGCTTTATACAGTAAGTTAGTACTCCCTCCGTCAAGAAATATAAAAGTACTTAGATCACTAAAGTACTGACATAAACGCTCTCAAATTTCTTTACAAAGGGAGTACAAAATATAGTCTCGTGAAATCGGAAGGGAAAAGTGAGGCGGGACGGCGTGCCCTCGTGAGATGTTTTGTTGTCTGCTAGTAAGCGCCAAACAATAATGCCCAAACGTAAGGAAATGTAACGATGTAATTAATTCCCACAGTTCCATATTATTTGTAAAAAAATCTAAATAAATGTTTCACGCTAAGAGCAACAAATGAACAATGCCCAAACCAGTGGTGATTTTCCGGTAGCAAATGTGTACCCTCTAGAAGTTAGTCAAGAAATTTGTTCTATAGCCTGCTCATGTTTATGGTATAGTCCCGTTTGATTTTTTTTCGTGAATACGACAAAGCTTGCATATCATTTCATTGATAGAAGTTAGAGTGAGTACAAGGTGTGATACAACACATGACGCGGACGCAAGGGTGTGAACATGGTGTCCAGAGCAGAGGGACATGGGATGCTCGATCTAAACAAGAGAAAACACAGCTAAACTCATCCCAAACCAATAAAACGACGACCAACATCTCCAGATCCAGAAATCGATGTTGCCCGCTTGCCATGGAAGAGAGGGAGGCTCAGGAATGGAGCACGCAGAGCGCACGTCCGAGGAGGAAAGGGACGCCTAGGGATGTGCCATAGACGGTCAGGGTTAAAGTGGGACAAATCCGGAAGAGGACGCCGTCGATCTCTGCCCGTGGCAGCGCCGTCGATCAACTGCAGTAGTGCACATCGGCGGCGGCCTTGACTGGCGGTGGGCGACGGCACATGTTAGGATGGAGATGATAGGATAGTGCAGTGCGTGGAGCGGAGGAAGCACAGAAGACGGGTGGCAGTGCAATTCGACGAGAGGTGGGGTTGCCCTAGCGCAGTGCAAGGTTGGTCCAACTTGTAGGTGCGCGAGGGACAGACGAAGCGAAAGAAAGGAAAGAGGAACGTACAAACACCACCACGTACCATCACGATGGCAGGATACTGATAGATTTCATGTGTGGCACAAGTAGAATTTTCGTTGAAAAGCATTACATAGCCGATGGACATATGGTAGGATCAGAAATACCAGCAACCATTTTCCATATCTTGAATCTGAGAGCTTCTTTGGTCCGAAGCCAAGGACTCCAAATGCTGAGAGGTTCCATGTTGAGGTCTACTGTCGAAAAGCAGTACAACATGTCCAATTCAGTTCTATAATATCCTTTTTTTTAATTAAAAGAAGCCTCTCAGAACAGGTTCAGCAAAATATCAAGTCCAGTTATTACAACGCTGAGTTCAGCAAAAGGAGTACAATCCGCACTAGTTCTTCTGACCCAGGGGCGACGCAGGGAGACTGCCGGGCCCGTCGTTTTTGTGATTTCCTGAAGGGGCCCGGCCCGAGGCCCGCCGGGCTTTTATGTGTCCTGGCCGGGATTGGGCCTAAAAACCAGGCCTGATGGCCGGGCCGGGCTCGGGCCTGGGTTTTTTGCCTCGGGCTTGGCTAGGCCCGGCCCGGCCCGAGGTTTGGCCAGGTATACATTTTATGATCTTAGACCGGAAAAACGAAACAAATGGTAAAGAAATAGTAAGTGCAAGCCCAGTGGTTAATTAATCAACAGGTGATCCCGTTGAAAAAGAAATATTTTATGATCATAAACCGGAAAAACGAAACAAATGGTAAAGAAACGTTGTGCCAGCATTACCTTTGCCAGATTAGTAAGTACTAATACATCATGAAATCTCGAACTTCAACTGAACACGGGTGAAAATTCTCTCATTCCTATAGAAAAGAAATGAGTGAAGTAGTTAGCCCAAGAAACATACATAAACCTAGATCCTAAGCGCTTCTTCACAGTTTACACTCCATAAAACGACCATTCATGGTCCAAACCAGTAAATCACAAGAATAAAAAATACAGTCAAGAAATAACATATCCTGAACAAAAAAGAGATAATGCAGGCCAATCTAAAATCTGCTCCAGCCCTAGAAGTTTAGCACTATAAAATATCTGAAGAGCACATATTCGTTAAGTGTGTTAATTAGACTCTAGGATCTAACACAGCAAATTTCCATGTACCAGATTATGTAAAGGCTCATATAATGAACATATGTCATTTCTGCACCTACGGCTTCAACCAAAACTACTCTGGAAAGAGATTTTCTCTCTGGACATTTTTTTTATCTAAACTCTGGAGAGGCAACTGGCTAAGTTTTTTATATTGGTGGTAACATATTGCCACCGTAAGTTGGTGATTATGACATTTTCTTAACTTAACACTGTAAATGTTGTTATTTCTTTTGGTAGCCTGACTTACTTTTCCATCCATACTTGATGTGTATGCATATGACATTCGGAGGCCCAAAAATTCTACTTTAAATATTGTTGCACTTTAAATATCATGGTAAGGCGAACAATATAAATGCAAAATAAACCAATGCCAAAGAGGCAATCTAGCAAATTCTTGTCCTGAAACAATATACTTGCACTGATCAGACCTATATCCAAATTACAATACTATAAGAGAAAGGATCCATACTTCATCAATACTATGAGAGAATAAGCCTTGCACTGCACTAGGATCAATAATGTGGCCATGGTAACAACTCTTATTATCTGAGCGCTTACCAATTCAGAGAAGCGGTTCAGATCAGGCATGGCTATTTTGGGAATCATCAACGGATGGCTGTCCAGAAAACTGGTAGGCAGCAGCAGCAGAAGGCCATGCGGTGACCGGTGAGTTTGGCAGAAGGCCAAGATGACCAGCCAGAGAGCAAAACAGGAGACCGGGTGACCACAATCGACCGGCAAGGTGGGAGGACAGGGGATGGAAGTTGACAGAATGAATATCAACGGTCCATCCTCTGAGAAAGACGAGAAAGGGGCACGAGCATGAGAAGGCAAAGGGAGGCACACTCGGACGGAACACAGTGACGAAGCAAGAAACAGGCAGACCCAAAACATGGAAGGGCAGACCGTCGCCGGCACACCCACTCCAACTGCAGACACAAGAACCATCTGTGCGCATCAATCTGTACAAACCGTGACGGCCCGAGCCGATCCGGTTTCACCCTTAGACAAGCCAATCAAGTGGAATGATAGCCAAAACATTTCAGCACTCCCTCCTACCACGGCAACATACAGAACCAATATTCCAGGCTATAAGAAACTAAACATCTCTGAGTAGCATACGAACTTGAGCGTTTAATTTTCCATTCACCAGCGTGATGCTTCCAACAATTGAAAATTAGTGAACTGTTTTTGCAAGAAATCGCAACAATAACTGGTCATGGCCCTTCCTGCCTGCCTAAAGATGGTGAATGGAAAATGCCTTCTCCCCAGTAGATCACAGCGCCAAACACAAAGATTCCTTGACCTCAATGAGATAGTAGTGTCAGCACTCACCAGTTCTGAACTTCACTTAACCAACCAAAACAAAAATCCTTCACCCGAATTACGCACTGTCGATTTGAGAGACGTCATACAATGTTCAGACAGCACGGTATTCAACAAACAAGCTCAATTTCTGAACCAACACAGCACGTGATCGATACAAAGGTTTTCTTCAAAGAACAATACTGGAAGGACTACAATCTTATGGGAAAAGAGTGGAGGGACAAGTGCTCACTGTTGAACTCCACCTCAGTCGGAGGTGCGGCAGAGGGAGAGGACCGGTGACGGCAGGTAGATCACGGTGGTGAGCGGGTGGAGGAATGGCGCTGCAGATCTAGCCGGCGACCGGAGCAGCTGCGACCGCTCGTTCCGTAAGATTGACGGCTCAGCAGATGAGAGATGGCGGGCGGGGGACGGGCGAGGCCGAGGCGTCGACGGCAGAGAGAGGCCGGAGAAGGAGGAGGCTCGCTGCCTCGCTGGGTGGGCAACTGTGGACAGCGGCCGGCGAAGTACGGACGTAGCGGGCGTGCCCCGCCGCGCTGTCGCCTGTGTGAGAGCTGAGTTGGGGATCGCTACAGTGGCTTTTTGAGGCGCTCCCACGGTGCCTAAAATCGCCCCTGGGACGAGTCGCCGAAAAAACAATCTGGGGCGAGTTGATCCCCAGTCGCCGATCTCAGAGCCGCTCCAGACGCGTCTAAATTTTTTGGAAAAAATAACAATCGACAAAATTCGGCTAAATACGTCCAAATTTCGGCAAACTTTGGCATATATTAGACATGTTCACGGTACATAGCAAAAAAAACTAAAAAAGAACTCGCTGAACGCGGAGTAGTCGCCGTCGTCGCTGCCATCCTCGTCGCCGTCGTCGTCGGCGGCCTTCTCCTCCTTAAGGCGGCCGTCCCTGGTAGACCCCTGCCCGGTGTCGCCAAGGCGGATTGGTGGCGGCGGCGGCGCGTCGTCGTCGTCGCTGTCGTCGAGGACGACGACTCCTCCTTCATCGCGGCCCCGACGGCGCTGCTCGAAGCGCCGCAGGGTGGCGCACTGGCGCTCCCCCTTCATCTTCAGGAATTCCTTGCGCGTCCATTCCAGGGCCGCCTCATCGTCGAGCTCCACGTCGTCGTGTTCCGTCTTCACGGCGGGGAGACCCGGCTCCGTTTTCACCGGCGCGAGCCCCGGCTCCGTCTTTGACTTGACGAAGCGCGGAGGAGCCGACGAGGAGGCGCGCCGGCTGCCCTCGTTGATGATGATGCCGGCGCTGCGAGTGCGC